TTGCCGTATATCCAAATATCACAGAAAGGTTGATCAACTATTGTATTAAAGAAGATAGTGGTTTCTACTTGTTATAATGTTGTTGTCTGTTTACTGTACTATTCTTTTCATTGTGACTGTTAAGTCACAAAAATCAACAAAAAGGCGAGTATACTCAAAAACACTACGCACATGTGGAAAACCAGATGGAACTTTATACAAAGATCCTAAAAACTGCTATGGATAAACAGCATGCTTTTATGGCTAAGTGTACTGGGTGCAATGCCCATTACGTCTCAAGTGTAACGAAGAAAAAACTATATGCGATTTTCCTCAAAATGGCACTTGTTAGCAATTGATAAGAGCGCGTTAATACTGACTCAGTCATACTGGCAGTTTTCAAGTAACTCCTGAATAAAACTATGCAATAATGTAACCTATGATTAAAACTAAATGTAATCACCGCTTATATGGGGTTCATTCGTGCCGGTTAACAGTTGACTCTAAAGTCTGGCGGGGTTGTGCGTGCCTGTGTATTTTGTCAAGAGGGGCCTAAGCTCCTCATGTAGTCAGTTTGACTGTGGTATCCAAAAATTTCTTTAACCCATTGGCACCTGCAGCTGATTGTAACGCGTACCTATGCAAAAATTAAAATTTTGGATCAACCAGAAAGACTTGGAAAGGCAAACACAATGCGCAGTAAATTATTATAAATCATTTTTTCCCAAAAACAAGCTCCAGTGAAAGAAGACCGTTTAATAACTTATTTCAAAAGAAAAAATGGATAGATGCATACTAAGTTTTACTCAGAAATCAAGATAACAGATGAAAATCGCTAAATTTTTCGCATGTGTACAAACTGGTAAGCGGATCAGAGATCATAGCAAATATGCAAATTTGTCCGTATGTTAAGAGGAGAGATCTCTTATTACATGGAATCTGTAGATAAGAAGACGAAAGTGATCAAGAAATATTTCGGAACGAAAGCTGTATTCAGAACAGTTCTTGATTTGCTGTTAGAAGCAAAAAACGTGTTTCTTTACTTGACTTCAGGGCCAGAATATTGCGTAGCGCTATTGGTTAGAGCAGAGTTTGTTCGTTGGTCAATTTGACCGGCCGGGGATATGGCCGAAATTAATGGAAAAAGTACATGTATTAAACTGGCCATTGAGACGAGATATTTATCGGATATTGGGAGTCACTGAAAAAGTTGAAACTGACTTATCAAATAAAGTTCACAACCAAAAACCGAAGAGGCAGACAAACCATCCCACTAATTGAAACAATTTGAATCATCTTCCTTGATATGCCACACAAATTGATCATTTCTTATCGGTTGCCTCCCGCAGAGATAAATTCTAAGAACGAACAAAGGAATCACAAAGTTCTTTCGATTTCAAGGCTGTGGTTAGTTAAGCCTGGAAGACTTTTGGAGAGTAGAGATTCCCGGTACGTGCATATAATGATGTTTTCCAAACGTGTGGCTTAGGCACAAAAATAAATCTATAACTATTGATAAATGAATTACTAACTTCACGAAAAGTGACGACTTGACTCACAATCTGTGGCTCTAAACGTAGTTAACTTCTTTTAATGAAATTCAGGAGACTTCAAAACTTAGCGGAACATGTAATACATGCGAAAGAAAAAAAAGTCCTTTAAACACTATCTCCTGATTTAACTGGCCATAGTAAATTTGAGTTAAAAGTTTCAAACCTATTTCTTAAAATAAACTTTGGCTAACGAGAAAACAATGACGAAGGCAAAGGCGTTTCTTTCGCTTGTCTTTCGTTCTTCTTAGCTTAACCTTGTTAGTGACCTTTTCCTTTTCCTTTTAGCTCAGCAGGCGTTACGTGAACCAAGCGGGAGACCAAACTTTTCTGCTTTCGTAAGCCCCATGCCTTTAAATAACTCTCTTTTCTGCCGTTTGGCAAAATAACTCTGCAACGCAGTCACTCTACCCCATCTAGAATAATAATTAACATTGTCCGCGAGACAGTGATATTGGACCATAAACTTCTCGCATGCTTTATTGGTAACGATATAAAATGAGGAGAGATTTACTTTGATTTTAAAGGGTTTATTTAGTTTGGGTGTTTGTTTATCCTTGAATCGTTTACCTTGTTTTTCAAGTGTGTCATTCATTAATAGCAACTCATTAATCTTCATTACTAAACATTCTTGGTCTTTCTTGACTTTTTACTACCATTTATGCAATTACCCAACCAAATTCTCGATGTCCCACAAGTTAGAGGCAAGGTGCAATGAAACAATTTGAAAAAACTTCGGTAAGAAGCTTAGGTATGTGTATTTACGTCTAGTTCTGGATGATCCGTTGCGCTCTATAGCTTGCACGAAATATCCATTGTGGTTTTGATTTTCCATGCTTTTTAATCACCGCAAGTGGTAGCTGTCATATTAGCGACACGTAGGTATAGGAAGTGGTTTTAACCAATATTGGCTAAAACGGCTTGGATCATGACGTCAACCGAGTGTAATTATCGAACTTGGGCAATTTTTCACTGCCTTCAATTCTCAACACTAAGCTAAAGTTTGCGAAGTTATGTATCCAAAATCGAAATTATGCCAGAATATCAAGCTGTTGAAAAAGTTTGGTTAACATTAAGCGCAATTTAAAAAAGTATGACCTGTGGGAATGTCTGAGAGCCTCTGAAGGAAGTATAAAAGAGACGTCACTTTATTGGGTTGTACAATCTGAGCAAAATTGGTCGTATTTGAAATTTTTTTTAGGGAAAATAGGAATACTTTCCTCTTTATGATCTTCGTATTTTTTAAAAGGGTCGCCATACACTTTATTTTTCATCAGCAAAAAAAGGAAAGTTCAAGACTGAGGTAATTACCACAAATTATACAGTATCTGTTTCAATAAAGCTTAAGATAATTACATTCCGGTTGCTCCTTGAAAAGCGAAGAAGTGAGTACCGCTGAAATAACAGAAAAAATAAGACTAAGACAATGGAAAGCAGAGCAGAATTTCAAATATGAACCACAGAAAAAAACTTGGAAAGAAACAAAACATGGTGAGACAGCAAAAAGGTACAAACCTCAAGTAGCTTCAAGTGAAGTACCACTTTCATTACGTCAATAAAAAATAATCTAACTCCAAATGTGAAATAAAGAACCTTAAAGGAGAAGATCGAAGAAGTTTAAAATACAGGTTATTTGTATGGTTTGGCTGATTCCGCTACCACTTCTTGTAATGAGTAAAATCTTAAATTTTATGACTGCAAATAGGAAATGTGTCAGCTACGAGAGCCAGATACTCTCAGGTACCCCAGACAGACCTCAGACAGCGAACGACACGAAAAAGAGGCCTAATCATCGGCACACACACATTTATATATGTATGCTTATTCTGCGAGAAGAGTCAAAAGAATTTGAAAAATATTTTAATTAACACCACAGCGTACACTATTGAGTTATGGATGCACGCGGGAGGTTGCTAAGCACGAAAGAAGCATAAGAGTCGCTCGAGGCGATAGCCGAGAGCGACTCTAGCTTCTTGAGTGCTTAGCAAACCTCCCAAGTGCATTCATAACTCAATAGTGTACGGTGTGGTGTTTACCATTTGCTTTATAACATAACATTGATACATTGTAGCTAAAGAGTTCCCTTTTATTTAACAAATCTTACGTGACCAGAAAAAACAAGCGCGCGCGGAAAAATAGTCTTTGCATTTGCTCACGTCAGCAGCGTACACCCATGGGCAAATGGGGGATGCTTAATTGACCAATCAGAGCGCGCGCTTTACTTTGGTTATGTTATAAGTTTTCCTGTTTGCCACTCATGTACACCTGGGGCTCCAGCTTTAAAAAATCATATTTTACGGTATCCAAAAGGCAAACAGATGCGTATTCATACTCAAGGCTGAAAAAATTGTTATAAAAAAAATATCACATTGTTTGCGTTCAGTAAGCTCGAACTGAAACGCATGAAGGAACTAATATTCTGACGTCAAACTTCAACAGAAAACAAAATCAATTAGTGATTTCCTACTATATTCCGAACCGCCCGACGAACAGAATAGATTTTCAATATCTAGGCTGTTTTGCATCGAAATCGCCTCATCATAAGAAATACCTGCTTTTTCATCAGTGTAGCAAATCAAGCGCGCTCTAACGGAATACACGCATAATTAACAGACTGCTGTTGCATGACTCACTGCTCGCTCAGAAAAGGTTACTAGTTGAATTAAAAAAACTGGCAGGGAAATTTGGAGTATCGGAAATTTTGCAAATTTCTTACTATTCAGTTATTTCATTTATATCGAACGATCAATGATTCTCAGTGTTCAACACAAGTTAGAAGTATCGGAGAAGTTTCATCAACAATTTAATAACGAATGTTTTTGTACATGTGTGGGTGGTTTATTTTTTTGGAAAACAGTTCCGTTGCTCTGTTTTCTACCTTCTGTGATCACTTAAACGGTTGAAAATGTCGAAAACAAAGTTTAATTGGATGATCTATTGTTGACGGTTTTCAGAAGTCATAACAACTTGTCACGTCCACGGTTTCAAGACGGAAAAACCCCGCGGCTAGTCAGCTTTCGTCTGTGAAAATATGTGAAGAGATGCATTTGGGAAATGTTTGAAATACTCAACGACCGCAAACGGCGTAAAACCGATAAAACGATGAGAAAAGTCAATCTGGCTAGGCAATTTAAACAACACTACACAGCTGCGCAGGTACAAAATTACCATAAAAGTGACAGACTTGGTTAAACTCAAGATCAAGCACAGGCGGGGAATCAATTGATTTACCTCGTT